AATAGAGCATTAATTAAATAAATCACAATACAACCATGCAGTAGTATAGGCACAGTCATTAAAAAAGTATGAGGCAGATCGACAAGTGCCAATATCAAGAGATGTCTGAGATATATTGTTTACAGGCACCAATTTGCAGTGCATTGTATGTAGTACAACCTCATTCTAATTACCGTCAGCCCTCCGTATCCACGGGTTCTGTATCCAAAGGTTCCACATCCCTGGATTCAGCCAACCGTGGATGAAAAGGCCTGTGATGGTTGTGTCTGTACTGAACATGTACAGACTTTTTTCCTTGTCATTATTCCCTAAACAATACAGTATAACAACTATGTATATAGCATTTACTTTGTATTAGGTATTATAAGTAAGCTAGAGATAATTGAAAGTACATGGGAGGATGGGCGCCGGTTATATGCAAATACTACGCCACGTTATATAAGGAACTCGAGCATCCGTGGATTTGGGTATCTGCAGGGGTCCTAGAACCAATTCCCCGTGGATACTGAGGGACGACTGTATATTTCTACACAATAAGTGTGTACCAGGAAGGAAGTCTTTCTGGGACGGGCATTATTGGGGGTTGGGAGAAGCAGGGACTATTGTTCTTATTTTTTATACTCTTCAGTACTGGTAAATGTTTTATATCAAGTATTTAATGTTTATTTTTTAAAGGTCAAGTTATCTTGGACATGGAAGAGACTTTTCAAGGTCATTTATGCTAATCTTGTTTTCAGTCTTTCTCTGGTAACCAGTCAAGCAAGTCCTCGTGCCCCTGACAGTGAAGCACATTTTAATTATACAGGGAGAGAATGGACTGTAGTTACAGAACACTGGAAAAAACAAATAGCCAGAAAACGTTAAAGATCGTGGTTCCTGTAGTTTGTCACCCCAAATGTGGTAGCACTGCAGTGAGACCAGTCAGAAGGATGAGCGGAAAGCAGGTTGTCTATTACAAAGGGACGTGGCAGAGCAGCTTCTTTCCACAGCATCAGAGGCAAGTACAGCACAGCACAGTGCAAGACACCTGCAGTGTGTGCCCAAAAGACCTTTGCCAAGTCTAGCTGTACAATCGTGTACTGCATGGGGATGTTGTGGTCAACAATAGACTGCAGATGTGACAGTGGTCCCAGAAGATCAGGACCATGGAGCCTGGGTGTGTAGTAGGCTATACCATCCAGATTTGTGTAAGGACACTCTATGATGTTCACACGATGATGAAATCGCCTAACCACGCATTTCTTACAGCGTGTCCCCATCATTAAACAATGCGTGACTATCTGACTTTGGGTAAATTACATAACATCTCCAAAACACCTTCCTTACTGGTAAAATTAAGTGAGTCATTTGGTATATAGCTCATATTTCAAATGAAATAATATAGGAAAAGAGATTGCTTCTAGAAAATAGAAAGCACTGAATAAATTATAGCTATTATGTTATTTCCATTATTAATATCACCACTGAACTATATCTGGTATAGCAAGAAAATGATTCTCTTCCTTAAGTTGATAGATTATACCTCCTTATGTTTGATTATCAAATTTGCCAGCTCTTTGTAATGTAAGAAATTAATCCAGGGGCTGCCCCAGTGGCGTAGTGGTTAAGTTCACGCACTCGGCTTCGGCGGCCCGGGGTTCACCAGTTCAGATCCTGGGCGTGGACCTACGCACCATTCATCAAGCCATGCTGAGGCGGCTTCCCACATAGAGCAACTAGAAGGATGTACAGCTATGACATACAACTATCTACTGGGGCTTTGGGGAGAAAAAAGGAAAAAAGGGAGGAAGATTGGCAACAGATGTTAGCTCAGGGCCAATCTTCCTAAAAAAAAAAAGAAAGAAAAAAAAGAAAAGAAATTAATCTGCACAGAGATATAGGCCAGTACCAACAGACTGCTCCTAATGAATCTGATAAGTTATTTCAGAACTCGGCATGTCCACCAGCAGTGCCTTCCGGGGCTTGGTCACATCTCTGTGAATGATTCAAGTCTCTGTGTCAGCAGACACATTAGCTGCCTTTTCACTTTCAGGATCTGAGCATATTCCAAGGTAAATAGTAGTTGGTTTCAAAATTCTAAAAGAAATTACTGCTGCTGTCTAAGATCAAAGCCGCTTGCAGATACTTTGTTTTCCTGGTGCAAAGACTCCAATGTTCATGTGTAATCCAGGGGTTAAATGCCCAACAACGCTGAATGCTGCTTTCTGTTCCCCATGGAAGGAGACTGGTCTTGTGCCTTTATCTCCTCCAGAGAACTGGAACCAGCCCCACCAGGACCTTAAGCATGTGGAGTGTTCCTGTGGACCATCAGGGCCGAGACACACTGCTCATATTCCTGACCAAGGGTGTCATTTTAAAAACCCACTCTCAAAACTGCCCTTCCTTTTAAAATGCATCTCTGCCCCATGACTGCAGTGCTCTCAGCAAAACGTCTCTTCAGGCAGCTGCAGAGGTCTTACAGGACTCTATGAGGCAAGGCAAAGGCCGTGCCTAACCTTTGACTGCCCACGGCAGTTTTACTGGAATAATATGCACTTACTCCCACCAAGACATGTTTATGCTGTTCTCAAATATAGCAAAGTTCTTGATGTTTTTTCAACTTCAAAAGCTTTTTCTGGTCCATGTCGTCTTACTAGCATATTCATTAAGAAATTCACAGGTATAGAAGTAAACATTCCACTTACAAATTTGTATTTCCCACTTATTCGATAATTCTTGAAATTTTTTACTTTTCATGTAGGAGGCAATTTTTGATTAAAGGATAATTGTAGACATGCTCTAAGAGTGTATGCATGTGTGTCATTTGCATGCACATATTTAGGATGGGCTGTGCCACCTACAGCCCTAAATCCTGCCTCAGAGTGTTTGCAGGTGCAGCCATGGGGCTGACACCACACTGTGAGGGAAGCTGACCGGCTTTGGAAGTTGAACAAAGCACAGACCCTCCCTGGCTAAATGAGCCTGTCTCTAGAGCATGAGATAGAATTGTTGCGGGTTTGTTTTTGGTTTTCAGTTAATTTGTAGAAAGCACAAAGAGCCCTTCAAAATGAAAACACTGTAAGTATAAAATAATGTTTCAAAAAATAATGGGGGGAAACCAACAGCTATTAGTTTATATATATTTTGAAACTCTCTGCTCATCGATGAACAGCTTTATTGAGATGTAATTCATGTACCATACAGTACACACATTTAAAGTGCACAATTCAATGGTTTTTGATATATTATTGTTTTAATTGTGATAAAATACATATACCATAAAATTTTCCATTTTAACCATTTTTAAGTGTGCAGCTGAGTGGCACTAATTACATTCTCAATGTTGTGCAACCATCACTACTATTTCCAGAACTTTTTCATCATCCCAAATAGCAATCCCCCCCACCCCCAGCCCCTGGCCCCTCTAATCTACTTTCAGGCTCCATGAATTTGCCTATTCTGGGTACTTCACATAAGTGCATCACAAAATGTTTGTCATTCTGCATGTGGCTTGTTCACTTAGGAGAATGTTGTCAAGGCTTCTCCGTTTGCAGCACGTGTGAGAACGCCATCGTATGGATGGACCACGCTTTGTCTATCCATTGATCTGCTGATGGACATTTTGGTTTTGTCCACCTTTTGGCTATTGTGAATAATGCTGTGTTGAACATTGGCGTGCAAGTATCTGTTCATATCCCTACTTTCAGTTCATTTGCCTATATCCTAAGAGTACAATTGCTGAGTCATATGGTAAGTCTATATCTAGCTTTTGAGGAACGTTGTTACTTTTAGAAAAGTTTGTACCTATGAGTTACTGCAGCAAGCATCTTATGTGTGTTATTGCATCTAGTTCTCATAGCAGACTTGTTCACTCATTCTTATTCATTTATTCAGCAAATATTTTTTAAGGGCCCATTGTGGGCCAGGCACTGTTCTAGGCACTGAAGATTCTGTGGGGAACAAAACTGACAAAGTCCCACCCTCTCATAGATCTTACATAATAGTAGTGATGGCAGACAGTAAACAGATATATATTAATATAATGCTGGTAGAGGGCCGGCCCCATGGCTTAGCGGTTAAGTGCGCACGCTCCACTACTGGCGGCCCGGGTTCGGATCCCAGGTGCACACCGACGCACCGCTTCTCCAGCCATGCTGAGGCCACGTCCCACATACAGCAACTAGAAGGATGTGCAACTATGACGTACAACTATGTACTGGGGCTTCGAGGAAAAAAAACAGGGAGGAGGATTGGCAATAGATGTTAGCTCAGAGCCGGTCTTCCTCAGCAAAATGAGGAGGATTAGCATAGATGTTAGCTCAGGGCTGATCTTCCTCACAAAAAAAACATATATATATATATAATGCTGGTAGAATAAATGCCATTGAGGCAAGGGGAAGGAATCCAGGGTGAGGAGGAAGAATATTGCAGGGGGTGGCGTGAGGGGGATGCTGTTTCAGATGGAATAGAAAGTGAAGGTCTCTGAAAAGCTAACACTTGAGCAGAGACCTGGAAGAATCGAGGGAGCAAGTCATCCGGGGATCTTGGGAGACCATTCTGGGGAGGGGCTAAAACAAGTACAGAAGCCCTGAGGCAGGCCCAGGCGTGGTGTGGTCAGGAACAGCAGACAGCTCAGGTGGCTGCAGAGAGTGCGAAGGAGGGAGAAGGCGAATGAGGGTTTATTATATTGCAATGGGAAGTCACTGGAGAGTCTGAGCAGGAGATAGACACAATCGGTTGTTCTGCCCATTTATAGGTAGAGAAGCTGAGACTTGGAGGATTTAGGTGATTTTGCCAAAGTAGCTGGTGAGTGAGAGATCCGGAATTGCCCAGCTAGATTCACTGCAGAATCCGTGCTCTTCCCTGCAGCCTCAGGCGCATATCTGACCTAACGATACTCCTTGCTGGCTGTCGCTACTTTATAGAATGTTCCTCTCACCGGATTAGTTCGCGGCTCTCGCAGCTGGTCTTGCTGAGCACGTTGTTCGTGGCCCCAAAGGTCTCCTGATTCTCTCCCTTAGGCTTGATGCACTCTCCCAGACTGGATGGGAGCAGCAGCCTTGGCCTGCAGATGCTGATGAATGCGGACAGCCTGTACACGGCCGCGCACTGTGCTCTGCTCCTCAACCTGAAGCTCTCCAACGGCGACTACTACCGAAAGCGGCCCTCCCTGGCACCAGGCATGATGGTGAGTGTGACAGGCAGGGGCCTCTGGGCTGGAAGGCCAAGCATCCTTGCCCTGAGCGGGACGGCATGGTGTGCTCTGTTCCATGCTGCTCTGGGATGGGCATGGCCGTGGGTCTGTGGAGGGTGGACAGAGACGCAGTGCAAAGGAACAGGTGTGCAGTTTGCACAGCACCATGAGCTGCAAAGCTACCCATCTTGCTCCAGAGAGTAGAGAACCCTCGGTGCCGGGAAGTGGCTGCCTGTCAGTGGCCCAGTAATTTCATCTGGTGGCATTATCCAACACACACACACATGTAAGACACGTTCAAATACACGTGATCAACATGTGAACGTAACATCAGAAGATATACAGGGAATGGTCCCCTTTCCTAAAAATGAGGGCATGCTGTTACAAAAACTCTTCATTACGTCCCAAAATGTACCCAACCTACTCGTGACCCAGAGCTAAGCTTCCAGTGTGGATAACAGAGCACCTCCAGTAAGGTGTGGAGGGAGCAGGATGTGATGCCTGGGGCGTGGCTCCCTTGCCTGAGCCAGCCGCCCCGCAGTGTGCCCTAATATCAGTCCGTGAGCCTAAATCCAGGGAGCTGCAGGAAGGGAAACAGCAGTTGCTCGTTTGCTTAATAAACTGCTGACTCCCAAGAGTGAGTGGTGGCTTCAGGAATGTGAGTCAAGTGTCTCTAGAAACATGTGCGTTCTTTCAGGGAGCGCATTCCCTCTCCGCTGCCCTTGGGACAGTGAGAAGACACCGCTCTGTTCAAGATTTCTGAGCAGTGTCTAATCCTCCCACACCTCAGAGTGAAAGTATAAAGTGTAGTTTCCCTCATCCTTCTACAGGTTCCTTAAAAAGATGTCACAAGTGAAAGGAACTCCATGGAGTTTAGAATTCTTCACTTCAGTGTCCCCTCCCCTCGCCAGCCCTATGCCCAGTCAACAAGGTTTTGTTTTCTATAAGCCTTGCCTCAGTTAGGGCGTGCAGAGTGGAGAGGAAAGGAGCCCATTTGTTTGCAGGGGTGGCATTTGGTCCCTTCTCGTGTGCTGTCTCTGTAGAAAGAGTTCCTGAAGCAGTTCCAGACCAGCGGGGCACTGATGGTCTTCTCCCAGGCCTGGATTGAGGAACTCTACCAGCAGGTGCTCGACAGAAACATGCTGGGAGAAGCTGGCTACTGGGGCAGCCCTGAGGATAACAGCCTTCCCCTCATCACCATGTTGACCGGTCAGTGGCCCATTCTCGGCTCCACAGCACTCGGGGTGGGGTGCTCACGCTTCACAGCCCCTTTCAGAGAAGCAGCAGTGTGTCAGGCAGACCTTGAAACAGACCCACAAAGCTTCCCTGACCGTGGGTGACAGTTCCAGGAAGTGTCATGAAGTCCCTCATAGGACCTTTCTGTCTCTTTTCCATGTGAGACCCTGCAGGGCTCACTCTGCCCCATTAGATTAGGAGTTATTTAGCACCTGAGTCTGTTGGTGTAAAACTGTAGGCCTCTTTGGGCATATGAAGTGCTCTCTGGACGCGAAGCCCAGACTTATTCCTCGAAACTCACACGTGTCAGTAGATACCCTCTGTCGTTCAGTGCTTCTGGGAATTTGCCAGTAATGTAAAATGATTGATTTTCAACTTGGCTTCATTCCCATTCCTGTCCATCTCAGAGGGCCTCCCTTCCCTTCTCAGCTGCTCCAGAATTTAAAATAATACCAAACAGTTGCCCTGCATCTTTGTCTTCAGTGTCCAGAGTGTTTAAAATCCTATTTAACTATTAGAAGTTCACATGAAAGCATAGAGAGCAGGATGGAGTGTGGCCATGAAGCAATTTTTTTTGGCAAAACAGCCATTCATGGCTTTTTGTGGCCTAACTGTGATGTCAGATGCTCAAGACTTTGGTATGGTCATCAGTAGCCTGTCCTTGTTTGATCTGGGTTGCAGGACTGGTCTCTGATTTGAGAGATCTCCTCTCTTGGCTCAGCTGGCAGCTTCTGTAGAGCACAGCCCTCCGCCTGTCCTCTCGGTGCCTCGGCCACCACATGTCCACACACAGCTCTGCGCCAGGCACGCTGGCAGGAACAGGACTGGGCTGGAGGCTCCAGCGGGGAGGCAGAGTCTGTTATCCAGAGGGTACGTTCTGTTGCCTGGGGTTGGTCTCGGAGGCTCTTACAAAGGTGGACATTATAAAGTGCCAGGTGGAACCCGACCATGAGGCGTTCAGGGTGAGGCACTGTTTAGGAGTCAGGCAGGGAGTGAAGACATCCAGGAAGTGTGTTCACAGCAGGCAGAGTCCTGGCCATTGTTTGGCGCTCGGAGTCCTGGTTCCAGAACCAGGATGGAATTGGGAGAAGCAAGACTGGGTTCCAGGCCCTGGGGGTCAGGATCACTGAACAGGTGACCACTTTGTGTTTTATTAACCCTGTAACATTTACATCCGTTTGAAAAAGAGGAGTCCATAAATGTGTGAGACACTTAACGCAGTCTACCTGTAAGCAAGGCTTGGTTCCCATCTGTCTTCACAAACTCCCTAAGGTAGGGATCGAAGGTACTGCCCAGACCTTATAAGTGCCTTGGAATTTGGATGAGGATCCTAAATGTGCCAGCTTTAATTTTCACATACCATAGTTTGTGGCAGAATTGATCTCCATGACTCTCTTACCTGAACCTTAGTAAAAGGAGTCATTCAGTAGATGTAAAAAAGAAGAAATAAAGGCTATTCACGGTAGCCATATTCATCGGTCATCACGTTAATTGGCCCTCTCTTTTATAATGGAAGAGTAAGCGCAATTGCTGCGTCCGTAGGAAAGTCATCTAACTTGAGACTAATGATAGAAAAACATAGGCTTTTCATAAGAATTCAACAAAATAGGGTCCTATGATTCTTTGTAGCGAATTCCAGGTGTGAAGTGACGAGTGAATTTGAGCAGCAGTTAACCCAGGGCTTAGAAACTTCCATCTGATCTTTTCGTTATGTGCCTGAGAAAGCAGTGGCAGTGGTCTCCTCATCAGCACTGTGCTCACTGTGGCCATTCCTGGTGTCATGACAAGGTGTTCTGTAGAACCGTGGAATTAGCGCTCAGATTGACTTTACACTACTCGAATTCATCAGTCCTTTACCTAGCACATAGGAAACATTATAGCTTTGATAAATGGCAATTTCTGGTGAATGTCATTAGACCATTTGACCATAAGTCAAATTAATTTCCATGAAACTGGTCTGTTCCCACTTTAGTAGCCGTATAGAGTTCACCCTGCTTTTTTTCCCCAGTTTTATTGAGATATAATTGACATTTAACATTGTATTAGTCCAGGGTATACAACATAACAATGTGACATATGTATATATTGCAAAATGATCACCACAATAAGTTTAGTTAATGTCAATCACCTCACATAGTTACAATTTTGTTTGTTTGTTTGGTGAGGAAGAATAGCCCTGAGCTAACATCCATTGCCAATCCTCCTCTTTTTGCTGAAGAAGACTGGCCCTGGGCTAACATCCGTACCCCTCTTCCTCTAGTTTATGTGGGATGCTGCCACAGCCTGGCTTGACAAGTGGTGCCTCAGTCCGTGCCTAGGATCCGAACCTTCGAACCCTGGGCTGCCAATGTGGAGCACGAGAACTTAACTGCTATACCACCTGGCCAGACCCTGTTACAATTTTTTTTCTTGTGATGAGAACTTTTAAGATCTGCTCTCTTGGCAACTTTCAAAGAGATAGGTTGCTGGAAGTCTCTAGGCTTCTTGGAGTTACTGTAAGAATCAAAGATATAATGAAATAATTTTCAAACACGTGCAACCAAGTCTCACCCTGTGGGGATGAGGGTGAAGTTCTGGGGTCGAGGAGTAGACTCATGCTGCTCTCTTTTCACGTTCCCTCCCTGTGTTGCATTCAAGTACATCTGCCTCGACTCCATGGCCCCTTCTCCAGTGGTTATTTCCTTTATACTGAGGAATTCAGGGCCCAGAGCATGGAGTGCTTGGCCCAGGGCTACAAGGCTACGTAATTCAGAGCCAAGGCTGAAGCCCAGGCTTCTCAACCCCGGGCGAGTCTCTTCTTGCCAGCGTGGTAAGGAGCAGTTCACTGAGCTAATTCCATAGATGAGGGTTTGTTTTAACAAAAATTTAAACAAGGTAAATTAGGATCAGGTATTGAGCTAGAGTATGGTGTCAGGCAAGGTGCCTGGATGGGAGTTAGAAGACATGAATACTAAGCCTGATTCCTTCTTTTAGCAGCCTCATGGCCTTGGGCAACTTACCTACTTTGAATATTTGTTTCCTCCTCTGTGAAACAGGAAAAATAATGCCTACCCTGCCCACCTACTTGGAGTTGTTGGGAAGATCTAATGAAAAAAATGTTATGTGAAAACACTTTGAAAATTGTAAGGTATTATTATTAAGGTATTATTATTGTACAGTAATCCCCCGTTATCCGCAGGAAATACTTTCCAAAACCCCCAGTGGATGCCTGAAACCACAGCTAGTACCAAACCCTAAATATATTGTGTTTTCTCCTATGCCTACACACCTATGATAAAGTTTAATTTATAAATTAGGCACAGTAAGAGATTAACAACAGTAACTTCTCGTTGGCATATCCGAATCGCCAGCATCACTGCTCTTGTGCTTTGGGGCCATTATTAAGTAAAATAAGGGTGACTTAACATAAGCACTGCCATGCCTGACAGTCGATATGATAACGAGATCCTACTAAGTGACTATATATAGTAGCATGTACAGTGTGGATCCTCTGGACAAAGGGATGATTCACCTATCGGGTGGGACGGAACAGGAATGTGCAAGATTTCATCACGCAACTCAGAATGGCGCACAATTTAAAATTTATAAATTGTTTATTTCTGGAATTTTGCATTTAATATTTTTGGACCACAACTGACCATGGGTAACTGAAACCACTGATAAAGGGGGACTACTGTACTTTGGAATCAGATTATACAATTATCTGACCAAAGAGGCTTATCCTCTTCTTACTTCTTATGAGGAAAATCTGAAAGAGAAATCCATGTTAGGGCAATCCTAGGGTAACATATAAAATCTCGGAATAATGCATGGTTTTGAATAAAAGGGAGTAGAGTCATGCATCGCTTAACGATGGGGACACATTCTGAGAAATGCGTCATTAGGTGATTTTGTCTTTGTGCGAACATCACAGAGTGTACTTACACAAACCTAAATGGTACAGCCTACTACACACCTAGGCTCTATGGTACTAATCTTATGGGACCACCGTCATATCTGTGGTCCATCATTGACCGAAACATCAATTTGTGGTGCATGACTGTATTCAAAGATCAAAATATTCTAAATCAATAGATTTTCTAACAACAGAGATAGCAGAGTTTATCTTTATTTTTTCAAATAAAAAATATACAACAACCTAATAGAAAAATGCTCTAGCAATGAAAGAAAACTATACTGAATGAATAAAACAAAATTTTTAATATTCTGATAAAAGGTTGCTACCTACTTGGTACATAATAAGATCCAATGGATATTTGCTGGAGAAAAATGAATATTGTGGTGGCCGTTTTTTTTGACTGGAGTGTTCTAATCAAGGAAAACGCTGCTCTTTTTCCTCGACAGATATTGATGGCTTAGAGAGCAGTGCGATTGGGGGCCAGCTGATGGCCTCGGCTTCTGCAGAGTCTCCTTTCACCCAGGCGCGGAGAATCGATGACCCCACCGTGGCAGGTAGTGGACACGCAGATGTCGCCTGTGTTACCAGCAACTGAATTCCTCTGTGGTGCTTTCTGTGCTGACATAAACGAATCAAGGTTTTGTCTTGGCAGAAGAAGTGCCCAATGGAGTTATTTAACATCATGTTGCTGGTGATACAACATTCGTTATTTATAAGCACAAAGTGAAACACAGTCCAGTATAATCCATTAAATTATACTTCCTGTAGTGGCATTGTGTACAAATCGGTACTGCTGATCTGACGGTCACTAACCCATGTTCATTGCCAGGCTGTTTGGTCTCCAGAAAGTGACCCACGCCCCTTCCTGTTCTAGGTGTGGCGTTTGCTCGCTATATTCTGGTCGGCTGCTGGAAGAACCTGATCGATACTTTGTCAACCCCCCTGACTGGCCGAATGGCAGGGAGCTCCAAAGGCCTGGCCTTCATCCTGGGAGCGGAAGGCATCAAAGAGCAGAACCACAAAGAGCGCGACGCGATCTGCATGAGCCTTGACGGGCTGCGGAAAGCCTCACGGCTGAGCTGTGCGCTAGGTGGGGCCAGAGCAGTGTCCCTGACTGGGGCCTGAGGGGTGTCCCGAGGAGCACGTGCGAGTGGCCCTCTTGGGAAACAGGCCCTGTAGAAGGGGCTCTATTCGGGGAACGATCAGAGAACAGACTCGGCTAAGGGCAGCCGTTTGTCCTCTCCACAGGAGTTGCAGCTAACTGTGCCTCAGCCCTTGCCCAGATGGCAGCGGCCTCCTGTGTCCAGGAGGAGAAGGAGGAAAAGGAAGCCCAGGAACCCAGTGACGCCATAGCACAAGGTAGCAGCTGAGGGGCCCGTGTGCACACATCTGCACGTGCAGGCAGACACTCATCCCATTCCGGGGGTGAGACACAGCGTATGTTTACCGCTGATCACGAGATCTGCTGGGGCATAGGCTTGGGTCTCTTCTACATGGCCGACCCTGCAGAGTGCTTACAGGAGATCCCTCTGGCCACAGGAAGTATACTGGCCGCTGGCCGCCAGGAAAGGGCTCTCGGCTGCTAACAGGAGTCCTGTAGGACACCAGAGGCCCACCTGGCCGAGCTCGTCCCTCTCGGTCATCATCTGGCCACTGGCTTTGGCACTTCACAGAGGGCACATTTGAGGACCCTCAGGTTATGGTTGCGCACGCAGAATGGCCAGTTTTCTGAGTGGGGAAATGAAACAGATGGAGGGAGTCCCTGAGAGGAAGCTCAGGAACACTGTGCTCTTGTCAGGGAAAAGCCTGAGCTTTGTGAACTCAGGAAAGAAAGGATTTTTAACTTGTTAAAATCAGTCAGTCAATGAAGCGGATGATTATCTAGACGTAAGGAAAGAGAATCGCCTTCCTAATAGCAATGGAGGTAAGTGGCAGGCAGTGAACAAAAGGAGAAATGGGAGGCCTGGTCCAGTTCGTACTACCTCTGTGTATCAAGTAAGCCAGGTGCAGAAACAGCTGGCGCATTGTTAGCTGAGAAAAACGGGGTAAGTCAGTGTTCCTCAAACTTGAGTAGTATATAGAGATTCGTGTGAAAGCAGCTCTCAGATCCCCAGTGTTAACTGAAAAAAGGGCATCACAGTTTTACTTAATATATACAACCACAAATTACATAAAAATTCCTACATTTAAAGTTCTTAAAAAGTTATAAAACCATAATATTTAAATTACGTACAAATTTTTAAAAAATCAATATCACATCCATGAGACAAATGATGCTTTGCTAAAAATCAGTTTGCCCCTAAACAAGAATATGGTTCAGCTTCCTCAGTAGGGAGCATACTGTCGTTCTGGGTTCTGGACCATCTCTCAGTTATCCCACCAGACTCATCCTCCAGTGACTTGAAACCTTACTCATGGGGGATGTTGTCATTTGGCCTTGCCTTGGCAGTGTGCGTAGTTGACATCTTAAGTCACCTTCTGCATCCTTTCTCATTAGTCATCACAATGAAAAGGTGTTATTTGAAGATCACAAATATAAATGTAAACTCGCAGTAAAATGGTGTGGTGATTTTCAGTTACAGAGCAGTCATCGTGGCACTCGGTGTACATGCACAGGTTTAGATGGTCATCATCATGAACACATAACACTACATAAACCTCAGAGAGAACTTGCAGGCTGCCGGGAATTCTTTCTTATCATCCATTTGAGTGCACCGGCAGGGGGGCTGTGGGCACAGGTGGCTGTAGCTGGGGTCAGCAGGTGAAGCCCATCCTCGCTGCTGTGAGTGACCCAGAACCCATGGGTGGGCCTGGAGGAACCATGCCTGCCAGCTCAGGATCCATCCGACTTCAGAAGCCGCAGAGCCGGGGTCACCAGTGTCTGTGGGCCTGGGGGCTGGTAGTTTGCATGATGAACCATGGGGACCTACATTGAGGAACTTGCTGCCAGTGGCACCCAGTGACACCTGCTCACCTTCTGCCCGCACCACAGCACGTTCTTTCCTTTTCATCCTCTCTCCCTCTCTGTCTCCTTCTTGGCTGTTATGTTAATGGTGTCTTTCTGGCACAGTGAAACTCAAAGTGGAGCAGAAGCTGGAGCAGATCGGGAAGCTGCAGGGGGTATGGCTGCACACAGCCCACGTCTTGTGCATGGACGCCATCCTCAGTGTGGGCCTGGAGATGGGAAGCCACAACCCCGACTGCTGGCCGCACGTGTTCAGGTGCCCGACGGGACCCCGCCCCAGTCTGCTGCACAGTGCACAGCCTCGTAAGATGAGAACACAGCGATAGCTCCACAGTCCTCCCACGACTGAGACGAACAGCTCATCTCTCCAGGCATTGGCATTGAGGCGGGCCTGGGACGGAGGAACTGCCCACGGCGCGGGCACAGGGCGGTGCCGGGCTGTTTCTTAAACTCCCCCTTGGCACACGCCTGATGCCTCAGTCCCGTCAGAGCAGCGGTGGGGCAGTGGGGAGCAGGGTCATGGCCCATGGCAGGGCTTGGGCGTCCGGATCTTGCCCAGGGCACCAGCCGGATCTGGGTTCAGTTTAACCTCCTCAAAGCAAATACAGCTGTGAGTGTTTGTCCAGTTTCAAAGAGAAAAGTGTGCAGATCATTCATGGGTTGAAAAACCCGCCTTGAGAGGGACACATGAAAAAGCCGGGATGAATCAGCCGGGAGCAGAATGGGTTTAATGTGGAGGCTCTGCGTTGCTCTCACAGGCAAAATGGGGAAAAGAAAATGACTTAAATTGTATCCAGACAATTTACCTGGAATCGGAAACTTGATGCTAGACTATCAGAGTGGAGTTTCCAGGCTGGTCTTTAGGGGAACTGGGCGTTTTCCGGCCGAGCCGTCTTCATCCCAGCTTGTTGGAAGCTGGCGGCTGTTCTGTGTGTTGTGACCCTTCCCTGTGTTTGCCACGGTCAGGAGACCACCCCACCCCCTCCCAGCATTGCTTACGTGGAGCTGTCGGGACCGGGCAGGACGTGGCTGGGCAAAGCCTGGAGTGGGGCCCACTGTGGCCGGAGGGCCTATCAGCCAAGTGCACACTCATTCTGGGGTCTCAGAGTAAGGAAACGCTCCCCAAGTCCTAATCAGAGCTCCAGAGAGAGGAGAGAGGGCCCCTTGGGAAAACTGCTCAAACAGCCAAAGTCCAGATGAGCTGTAAGCTGTCCAGGGCGGAACTGGATGGACAGGGCTTCATTACCCACCTTTCTCCCAGCTCGTGGCAAGTGAATCGAGGATCCTTGCCCAATTCCAGCCTGTCTGGTCCAACTCAAAAAATATGTATAGTGAGGGGAGAGAGGGTGAGAGAGGGAGATGTGGCTGTGACAGGAGGAAGGAGGAAGATGGGGGGGACTGCAGAGCTGGCTGAATGTGCTTTGTGTCTCCCTGGGTTGCAGAGCTGGCCTGGCAGGGCTGCAGCTCTTAATGGCTGCTTGTCTGTGGCTCTCTCTAGGGTCTGTGAGTACGTGGGCATGCTGGAGCACACCCACTTCAGCGACGGCACCTCTCAGCCCCCCCTGACCATCAGCCAGCCCCAGAAGGCACCTGGGGGCTCTGAGCTCCTTGGGGCCCCGCAATGTGAGGGCGCCTCCCTGGAGCAGAGCCTGGAGCAGGAGAGCTCGCTGAGCACGACCCCAGTCATCCAGCCTCTGTCCATCCAAGAGCTCATCAGGGAAGGCAGCCGGGGCCGGGCCTCTGACTTCCGCGGCGGAAGCCTCATGACCGGGAGCAGTGCCGCCAAGGTCGTGCTCACGCTGTCCACCCAGGCCGACAGGTGCGCACCGTTCTCCCCTCACCTCCTGGCGGCACCACATCCAGCTCCTCTGGTCTCAGATCACGCCCAGCACAACTTGATGTGTCAGCCAGTCATTTAAACCTCTTGATTTTTTTTCAAACGTGCTCTGTCTCTCACCACACCCCACACTTAGAGTGAGCTATTGTCTGATGACGGGACAGTAGGCTCTGGAGGCATTTGCCCGGGGTTAAAGCTATGCACTTACTCCCTGACGTCAGGCACCTCCACCTCCCTGGGCCCTGATTTCTTCATCGTGAAATAGGGTCATGGGGCCGGCCTGGTGGTGTAGTCATTAAGTTCGAGCGCTCCACTTTGGTGGACCGGGGTTCGCAGGTTTGGATCCCAGGTGCGGACCGACACACCACTGTCCAGCCATGCTGTGGCGACGTCCCATATAAAGTAGAGGCAGATGGGCACGGATGTTAGCCCAGGGCCAGTCTTCCTCAGCAAAAAGAGGAGGATTGGCAACGGATGTTAGCTCAGCACTAATCGTCCTCACAAAAAAGAAAAAAAAATAGGGTCATAACGTGACTCTCTCACAGGGTAGCCGAGAAGTTAAATTAGTTAGTACACTGGAAGCACTTAAGACAGAACTTGGCAAATAGTAAAAATCCAGTGTGTTTTGATAATTAATATTTTAAAATCCAAGAGTATGATATGTTATGAAATGATGCCCAGCAACCATATTAAGGTTGAGAGGGAAAAATCGACAGTACCGCAGCTGTTTGATGACACTTCTTGGTGTTGAGAGTGCTTTTAGTCTCCAGTCACACATGGTGCCACCTCACGTCACTCTCCACACGTGGTGGTCGTCCCCCGGGCCCCCAGCACAGGTTCCCGAGGGCTCACCCCGGGGGACAGCAGGCGGTGGGGATGTGGGAGGAGCAGTCGCTGGCTGGGGCCCGGAAGACCTCAGTACACGTCTGTACATCGCTGCCCCGAGACTCAGCTCTCAGTCTGCTTACGCGGCACGTGCAGGCTGACTGCGGTAATCCCTTCCCTGCTCACCCAGCGAGGTGGTATGAAGGCCTTTCGGAATCTGGCCAGTGGTGTCAGGGAGATGTGGTAGCCACACTGTCTTCCTCCTGGGAAAGAGGGAGAAGAAACAGGCAGTGGGACCCAGAGACCAAATGGAGTTAAATTGGAATTATAAAACAGCAAGAAAAATGTTTTTGTTTCAGTAATTTGAGAATGATTAATCCACCGATTCCCGTCTTGTTCAGTCTCTATTAGACACTCTCCCTTGCCCAGTGTGTGGCACCCCACAGGGCTGCTTGCCCCTGTGGTGTCACCACAGATTTGGGAGGCAGCAGCGGGTGACCCACGAGCAGCGGAAGGCTGCTCGCCTCACTCCTCATGAGGCCACATGAAGTGGTCCTTGGTCTCAACACTCGGGTTCCGGGGAGCCTCGGGTCCCCCTCTAAGTCCTCCTCCTGAACTCTGGAAATTTGTGCGCCCAGCCTAGTGGGAAACAAAAAGAACCCACAAGGCCCATGATGTTAGGAGTGGACACCTGAGCTTCCACACGTCAGGGCTCCAGGTGCCTGAGTCAGAGGGGCTGCCCTCGGGGGGCTTACAGGATCTCTTTGCTGGGCTTGTGTATCCTCCTCAGAGCCAAGCCCAGCATTATTCTCATCAGTTGTAGCCCAACAAAAGCCTTGATTAACTTGCTGGGTTTTTCTTTAATATAGCTTATGAAACTGAAGCTAATTCTAAGGATTCCAGTCTCAGTTATTCAGGTTCTGGGAGCAATTCTTTGCCATCTTTCAACTTCTTTCCAAACATTTTGTGAGTGCCTACCATGGGTGAGCTGGGCCATGAGGATACAAAGATTTTTTTTTAAACGTGGTCTGTGCCCTGCAGATTAAAATCTCGTAGTTAGAGCAGATTTATACCTAGTAATTATAGACAAAATAATACCGTGCATTTCTTTACAGTGTTTACACATTCTCATTAATCACTACTAACAAAATTACCATAATCATTCTGCCACAAGGACTTTGCTGAATTGTTTCCAAGTAACAAATCTTTTTGTTTCATCCAGGCTCTTTGAAGACGCTACGGATAAGTTAAACCTAATGGCTTTGGGAGGTTTTCTTTACCAGCTGAAGAAAGCATCACAGGCACAGCTTTTCCATTCTGTCACAGATACAGTTGATTACTCTCTGGCAATGCCAGGTAATTCTTTCCCTGAGAAACTGTGCCACAAGGTTAGGAGGAAACAGCCCAGACCCTGACACCAGCAGCCTGAAGACTGAATCCACGTTCCCTTCGCATACGGCCACTGAGCTGAGTTCAAGGGCAGATTTGTCATCCTTTTAGAGCGTGATGGGTGGGGGCGGTGTTATTCTTGTGGATGGAAGTGTTGCTGCTGCCCCTGCTGCCGCTGTTACACTGCAGCTGCACTGGGTGGTTCTACGCAGTTTAGTGCTTGTCATGTAGAAACTGGCCACTCAGGGTGCAGACAGCTTCACATGAGGGTGGGAGCCCTTCTTCATATCACAAACCACCCCACTCACCTCTGTCCAGCCAGCTTACAGAATCGGCTATTGATTCCAAAAGGGACAGGTGGGAGAGAAAAATGCAAGGATCAACAGAAGCCTCATGCCACTCTTAGGAGAACTGCTGTCGGGGCATATCCCTTTAATGATGGGTCAGTATCACTGTCTTCGCTGACGAGGCAGGGGAAGAGGAAAGGCCCTCTGGAAGGCCAGCCTGTGGGAGAGGGAGCAGAGCTGTACTGAGTTGCCCGGGGTCCCAGATGGGTGGCACGGAGCCACATGCTGGGCTCAAGTGCAGCTGTCCCTCAACAGCCAGGGTTGTGCTGAAGCAGTGAGCACCTATCCCTGTGAGTTCAGGCAGAGGCACAGAGCCACATGCTTGGGACCCACCAGGGTGGCAGGTTGGATTGTACAACTTCTCTGAGGTCCCCTCCGTGGTTAGGAACCTGAAGTTCTAAGTGTAATATATTTGGCCTTTTGATCCTTACTGCAGATTCTGATTTGAGAAACACAGTCCTTACCCCACTAGTTTTTAGTAGACTTTAAAACCTTAGCTATATAATGTCATCCTCCTTGACCCAGCACACTTCCAGAGCATCTCTGAGCCCCAGGGTCAACCTTCAAAGGCTTTCGCATGGGAGAAATCAGCAGGCCCTGAGCTCACAAAAAGCAACGAGCAGGGTCAGGAAGAGGCAGCAGACCTAGGAGGAGGAAGCATTGGCTTTGGAATAAGTCAGATATGAGTTAAAATGCTGTGTTCACCACTTACCAGCTGCGTCATCTTAGGTCATTTCACCTTTCTGGCATTCAATTTTCTAATCTGTCAAATGACAATAATTACATTTACTTCTTCAAGTTTGCTTTAAAAATTAAAGTGGTTAAAGATGCGAAGAACCAGCACGATGTCTGATGCAGAGTAAACATTCAGTAAATGTCAACCGTTATTATTACTGTCATTTTGAAGTTTATTTGATATGGCAGGACTCATTAGAGAGGCACATTCTGGTTGGAAGAGCCTGATAACGATCAGCATTTTATAGGCAGTGTAGGAGAAGCCACAGGACACGAGGAAGAAGGGAGTGGAGAAGGCTAAAGTGACAGAGGCAAAGAAGTGCAAGAGGTCAGAGTAGGCAAGGACTCTGCGGAAGCGGGGCAGGGCAGGTGACTGAGCAGCAAAGGGCCTGCCCTGCTTCGCAGGGGCTTCAGCGGTGGTACTGAAGATTGACGGAGTGGATGACGACAGTGAAAGATGGCGATGACAACAGTAATGACAGGAGCTATGAGTGTGGGTCGGTTAGTATGGGCCAGGCTCTGTGTAAGCACTTTAGGAGTATCATCACATTTAATCCTTAGAGGAACTTTAAGAAGGAGGTACTATTGTCCCCACTTTCACGGGGAGAAACTGCAGATTTGGAGAGGTAAACCTCTGGCCCAGCGTAACCCGGCCTCTGAATGGTGGAGCCAGGATCAGCCCAGCAGTCTGACTTTGCAGCCCTCCTCCCTAACCACTGGATCGTTCCTCCTTATCAGCAGGCATTGTTCACACTTGTCACGGCAACATTGGGGGCACTGGTGGACAGGAGAGGTGGACCCTGGTCTTGCTGAGTTAACCACCTGGTCTTCCTCTCCTGTCTTGCAGGAGAAATTAAATCCACCCAAGACCAAAAAAGTGCCCTCCACCTGTTCCGCCTCGGGGATGCCATGCTGAGGATTGTGCGGAGCAAATTGCGGCCCCTGCTCCACGTGATGCGCTGCTGGGGCCTTGTGGCCCCGCACCTGGTGGAGGTGAGCGCCTGGACGTGGGAAGCGCAGGGACTCCAGCAGCAGAGCCAGCACAGGGGTCTCCAGTCAGGTGGGGCCACAGTAAGGAGAAGGTCTCCGCCACCTGGTCACAAACATCATAGTCCTCTGATTATACATCATGGCATCTGAAGGATCGCCCCAAAGGGCAGCACTGCCCTGGCTTCTCTCTGACCCTCTTTCTCTGCAGTTATGTGACGTGGCTCGGTGCCCTACAGACAGTTTTTCGTTCTTTATGCTCTGGTATCAACCTGCATCTGGAGCTTCATTTCTGTACATGAATGTAACCAGGCTTCTGTTCCTGCTAGTGTCTCTTTTCTAATAGCTAAATACTCTGGGCAGTGCCTTCTAGGTAGGGGAACCATACGTCTTGGTTTTCCCAACAAAATTAATCCCAGGACCCCTTTCACTCTCCAAGGGAAGGCAGTTCCTATGATAAATTATAGGGTTACACTTTGTCCCAGCATCTCAGTACATGATGACTGGCTACATCTGAGTTGAAGGGAAAATTGTTGCCCTGATTTGCAGTGATAACTATTCTTAATGGTCCTTTAGTGCTTCTCTGGTAGCCATATGTCATAAAACAAAGTATTTTTTGGGAACTTAGTTTGCTAACCTGAGAACATTCTAGTAAGGACGAGGGTAGAAAACAACTTAGTTACAGAGAAACAGTGTATCAATTATCTATTACACTATGATAAACCACCCCTAAAATCCTAGTGACTTAAAACAGCAACCATTTATTTAGCTCCAGATTCTCTGGGGCAGAAATTTAGGCTGGGCTTGGCTGGGCAGTTCTTCTGGTCTGGGCCAGGCTCAGCTGGCCTTACTTGTGTACCTGTGGTCAGCTGGTGCATGAGAGCCTAGACTGGGGAGGCTGGACCAACGGGCCTCTCTGCGTGGTCTCTCACCGGCCAGCTGACTAGCCACGCTCGTTCACGTGGCATTCTTAGGATTCCAAGGAAAGAAGAGACCAGGTCCCAAGTCAGAACTACCTTTTAATTCTCTCCTTGTATGGTATTTGCTGTCGTTCCATTGTCCAAAGCAGGTGACGCGTCCAAGCCCAGGGTCAGCGTGAGGGGACTGCTGAGGGCGTGGGCACAAGGAGCCCTGAGCCGGTCAGAGCTTTGCCTTGCAGTTGCCCCACCTTCCAAGGGACAGGTGACTAGTCTGACCTTCGCATGTTTGGGCACGGCTGAGAAGGAGACCATGGGCAGTTCCCAGATGAGGTTCTGGTGTCCTTATAGGCAGCATGTTCTGTGCCACCCCAGAAAACTGTCATGTTACAGGAAAAAACAATTACTAGAAACTCTGATTTTTCCAGCAACATTAAAGTGACATTGGAGTTGTGTCTGATCAGTTGGTTAAATTATTAAAAATTCAATTCAGTGTGCTGTTCATCGATACTAATCTCCTGGAATTTTTTTGCTACAACAGAATTGCTGCCTCCACCTCCCTACAGTGAGGAGGGTTAGGAAAACCCCTGATGGTGTTGCACTCTGGTGAATTTTGCAGGCTGCCTGCCATAAGGAAAGACATGTGTCTCAGAAGGCTGTTTCCTTCATCCATGATATACTGACAGAGGTTCTCACTGACTGGAATGAGCCACCTCATTTTCACTTTAATGAAGCACTCTTCCGACCTTTTGAGCGTATTATGCAGCTGGAGCTGTGTGATGAGGATGTCCAAGACCAGGTCAGTGTGTTGTGGTGGTCAGCGTTGGTGTCATCACAGCAGGCTCTCACTGAGTGCGCTGGCAGGCACTGTTGTGTGAGCTTTGCATATTTAATCTTCCTCGTAATTCTCTGTGGAATCTGTGACAAAAAGAGGTTAAGCAGTTTAGCTAAGGATACATGATTACTGATTGACCGAACTGGGATTTGAACCAGGCACATGGCTATACTGGCCTATTCTCTTAACCACTGTCATATCCTCTGCTGGGAGACAGATGGTAAAGAGACTAAATGGAGACTTCATACCAAGCATTACGGTGGGCTAGGAACACAAACAGATCCTCTGTCTCTGAAATCTACTAAAAATGTTAAATAAGGGTTAAAAAACTCCTTTTGAGGGGCTGGCCCTGTGCCATAGCGGTTAAGTTGGCGTGTTCTGCTTTGGCAGCCCAGGGTTCACTGGTTCGGATCCTGGGCATGGATCTACTCACCGCTCATCAAGCCATGCTGAGGTGGCGTCCCACATAGAAGAGCTACAACTCTGATATACAACTATGTACTGGGGCTTCAGGGAGAAAAAAGAAAAAAGAGGAAGATTGGCAACAGATGTTAGTGCAGGGCCAGTCTTCCTCAAAAAAAAAAAATTCCTTTTGAATACACTGACACACTGGCAAGAAAGTAGGGAATACTAAGATGTCCAAAACTAAGTAAGAATGGGAAGCCAGAGAAGTAAGCAGAGCTCTAGGATTGGATTTGCCAGGAGGGAATTTGCGATTAGGTGAAGCTGAGTGTCTGCACTCAATCAAAAACAATCGGCTCATTAGGAAAAAACGTGTCATTGAATACAAAAAGAAAAACAATAAAAATAGACATACACACACCCTCCCCCATCTCCCCTTTGGGGTTCCAGATGTTGGAGTTATCAGAGACAAACTTTAAAATAACTGTGCTTAAATGTGTTCAGAAAGATTTAGGATAGCAGGGACTTCGGCTGTGGTTCATGAAGAAGTCAGTGAATCTTCTCCATAAAAATCAAATACACAACAAGAAAAAATTGTCAAAAGCGACCACTTTAGGGATCTGGAAATTGACGAAGGGTAGACAACAAATTGAGTAGTATTTATGTTTAAAAATGGCTCTTGCCAGAACTTTGGTTAAGAACAGGGGGACTGTGTGACCCTCTTGCTGAAGACTGCACTCATCACTCCTGCTCCCAGGCTGTTGGCAAGAATAGAAGTTTGACCAGCGTGGGGCTGACTGGGAAAGTCATCAGTTTTTCTGCTTAAAGGACAGACTTGGTTTGGAGAAGAGGAAAAAAGACCCTTGGTTTGTCAACTAAAAGTTCATTTCATTAGGAAATGAACAAGAGAATCCTACAACTTTGCTAGCCTAAAGTTGCAAGAGTGACCCAGTCAGAAATGTCACATGAGGACACGGGAAACCAGAGATTCTTAGAAGGACTAGATAAGTTCTTCACACATCTCTGGCTGACTAAAACATGGGCATATACAGGACAGACCATAGAGATCCCATCAGAAAGTGAAGACCAGAGAGACTTAAGAACTGGCTGAACTTTGAGGGCTGGCCCGGTGGCGTAACGGTTAAGTTTGCACTCCGCTTAGGCAGCCCGGGGTTCGCAGGTTTGGATCCCGGGCATGGACCTATGCACCGCTTACCAAGCCATGCTGTGGCAGCGTCCCACGCATAAAGTAGAGGAAGATGGGCACAGATGTTAGCCCAGGGCTAATCTTCCTCAGCAAAAAGAGGAGGATTGAGGGGCCGGCCCAGTGGCACAAGCAGTTGAGTGCACGCACTCTGCTGCAGCGGCCCAGAGTTCACCGGTCCAGATCCTGGGCATGCACCGACACACCGCTTGGCAAGCCATGTTGTGGTGGCATCCCATATAAAGTGGAGGAAGATGGGCACGGATGTTAGCCCAGGGCCAGTCTTCCTCAGCAAAAAAAAGAGGAGGATTGGCAGATGTTAGCTCAGGGCTGATCTTCCTCACAAAATAAAAAAAAGGAGGATTGAGAACAGATGTTAGCTCAGGACTAATATTCCTCACTAAAAAAAAAAACTCACTCAATTTTGAATATTCTCCCCAGCCTACACTCACAGATTGGTTGGCAGAGGATGGAAGCTTTAAAGGTTCAAGGTATTTATTTGAGCACAATCTCTGCCCTCTTCATCAGCTGACCACTAACCTATGCAGACATGGGGCCAACCCTAGGAAGTCAGGCTAAAAATAAATTGAGCAGAGACATTGGTGCCTCATGCCACAGGAAGAGACAGATTCCACAGTATGAGGCCAAGCAACTTAGTTTAAAAGAAAACTGAGGAAAATAAATCAGAATCCAGCATTGCTACAAGATGTTATCTAAAATGTCCAGTTTTCAGCAAAAAAATTATGAGACATGCAAAGAAGAAAGAGTGACACATACTTGGAGGGAAGAACAAAAAGTAGAAACTGACTTAGAGTGAACTCAGATATTAGATTAAGGGACAGAGACTTTAAAGCAGATATTATAAATATATTCAAAGAATTAAAGGAAAATGTGGTGATAATGACTCAAAAATTGGGAATCTGAGTACAGCTACAGTAGAAATTTTGAAAAAATGCAAATTCTAGAGTTGAAAAGAGTGATAAATGAAAAATCCACTAAATGTGCTTACCAGCAAGATTTGAGATGGCAGAAGAAAGAATCAGTGATCTTGAAAATAGATTAATAGAAAGTACACATTCTGAAGATCAGAGAGAATTCAGTTTGACCAAAGATAAAGCCTTAGAGACCTGTGAGACAATGTCAGGCATACGTGTAAGGGGGGTCCCAGGTGAAGAAGAGAAAGACAAAGGGGTGGGAAAATGTATTTAGAGATGTAATGGAACCCCAAGTAGGATCAACACATCAAAGATACCTACAATAGATACATTGTCATCAAAATGCTCAAAGACAAAACAAAACCTTGAGAGCAGCAAGAGAAAACAGTCAGTACTGCAGGGCACAACAGTAGACTAATTGCTGACTTTTCCAGGAAGAACAGGCTGGAAGACCATGTAATAACACATTGAAAGTGCTGAAAGAAAAAAAAAGATCAGTGAATAATTCTAGAGACGTTACTTTTCAAAAATGAAGTAAAAACATTCTCAGATTAACAAAAGTTGAAAGAATTCCTTGCCAGCAGACCTGTCCTACAAGAAATACTAAAAGAATTCCTTCAGACTGAAAGGAAATAACACAAGATGGTAAATCAGTTTCACAAGAAGTAATGGTACCTATGTAGGTAAATATAAAAGATTATGTATATATTTCCTCTTTTTCTTAATTTATTTTAAAAATGTAATATTTAAAGCAATAACTGCAACACTATTTTCTGATTTATTAAATATAAAAATGTAATATAAATAACAGCAGAAAGAAGGGGGAGAAAAATGCAACTGTGTAGAAGTAAAGTTGCTACATTTTGCCAGAATTAAGCCAGTATTAACCTGAAGTGTATTGTGATAAATTGAAGATGCATGTTATAATCCCTAGGGCACCAACCAAGAGAGTCAAACAAAAGATAGATTAATAATAAACAGAGGAATTAAAATAGTACACTAAAAATATGTTTAACACAAAGGAAGGTGGTAAAGCAGGAGCAGGAACAAAAAACACTGATATATATGGAAAACAAATAGCAAAGTGACAGATGTAAATAGAGCCGTGTCAATGATAGCCTTAAATATGCATTGGTGAAAAGATGCTCAGCATCATTAGTCATTAGGGAAATGCACAATGAGATATCACTTCAAACCCCACTAGGATGACTTCAATTAAAAAAGACAGGTGATAAGTTTTGGTGAGGACGTGGATTAGTGGGAACCCTCATACTCTACTGGTGGGAGGGTAATATGTGTCGCCGCCATGGAAAACAGTCTGGCAGTTCCTCAAAAGGTCTATACCCAAGAGAAATGAAAACATACATCCTTACAAATCTTGTACACAAACATTCATAGCAACATTATTCATAATAGCCAAAAAGTTGGAACCAGCCCAAAATCCATCAGCTTATAAATGGATAAATAAAATGTGATATATCTACGCAATGAAATATTATTCAACAATAAAAAATATAAAGTACTGATTTGTGCTACAGCATGGATGAACTTTGAAAACATTACATTAAATGAAAACCAGTCACAAAAGACCACATTTTATATGATTGCATTTATATGAAATGTCCACAGTAGGCAAATCTATAGAGACAGAAAGTAGATTAGTGGTTGCCTAGGGCAGAGGACAGGGTGGTGGGGTGGGGAATGACTGCCAACAGGTACTGGGTTTTAGGGGGGCTCAATGAAAATGCTCTAAAATTAGATTGTGGTGATGGTTACACAACTCTGTGAATATGGTTAAAAACATTGAATTGTACATTATAAATGGGTAAATTTTATCCTATATGATTTGTATTTTAATAAAGATGTTTTAAAAACAGGAATTGACCAAACTATCAAAAGGCAGAGATTGTAAGACTGGATAAAACAACAAGATACTACAATATGCGGTCTACAAGAAACAGATTTTCGGTTCAAAGACAAATAGATTGAAAGTAAAAGGATTGAAAATGATATGTGTGCAAACAGTAATCTTGAAAGAGCTGGGGTGACTATATTAATGTCAGGCAAAATAGACATTAATATGAGAAATATTACTAGAAGTAGAGACATTTAATAATTATGAAGGGGTCAATATATTAGGAAGATATATCAATTATAAATGTATATATACCTAACAATAAAACCTTAAATAGACAGGAAGCAAAAACAGAATTGAAAGGAGAAATAGACAATGTAAGAATTATAGTAGGAGGGAAAGGGGAGTTACTGTTTAATGGGGACAGAGTTTCAGTTTGGCAAAAGGAACATGTTCTGGAGAGGGATGGTAGTGATAGTTGCACAATGTGAATGCACTTAATGCCCTTGAACTGTATACTTAAAATGGTTAAAATTTTATGTTAGGTATAATTTTACCACAATAAAAA